ATCTAATTGTCTCCAAGCAGAAACTGTCAAGTTGTAAGATTTGATAACACTATGTAGGACTAACAGTTAGTTCCTACTTTAATATCAGTAAACTAGGTATGTAATCTGAGATATATTTCTGATTTACGAGTGTTGACATTACTTATCTACTTCCTCGTTTGTGTAGAAGAGCTATTACTTAACCTCTTTTAAACGCGTGTGAATCTTGTTTTGATAAGATAGAGTGTAGAGGTTAATGCTATTGTGGTTGATAAGCACCCTGGTGTGTCACGTTCGTTTTTGTTATGAAATGTCCTGATTTCGCAAAGCAATAAACCGTGAAGGATGCCTTTTAAAAGTCGATCACAATATTTGAATATCTATTAATCGCATCTTCGTCACCGTCTGACAGTTAATTAACTCTTATCAATTCCGAAAAGAGAAATAGATAGCAGCTCCACTTGACGAATACGGCAAAAGTAATCTTCCCAATTGATCCTATCGAAAGAAGATTCATTCACTTTTAAAAGTGATAAATGATTTATCAATACTCATAATATTTCTACACGCACGACCAGCCAGACATGTTGAGTGTGAGTATTTATTTACCAGAAATAATTATTTAGATTGGTAATAAACATGAGGCAAGTCTTGCAAACCAATTTTACTCGTATTATGGATATGCACAAAAAAACAAGAGTCGTTACTAGTACGATTTAAGTAAAACTTCATTTAAATTAACACGTGCATAAGCACCTTTATTCTCTGTCCAGTCTCAGTATCGCAATTTTTCTAGCACGTATTTCCGTCAATTTATATTTTGGGCGGGATCAGTAAGTAACACGTATAAATTCAAGTACATTTCACAAACATGAACTAATTTGTGCTGTAGCTGTACGACTTCCTAATATTTCGCCATTACGTCAACAGAAGAATTTTGCTCAAAAACTATTTATTTATGATGTTATAATTCAAGACACGTGCACTTTAAAACTTTTACTTAAAAAAAATGTAATTTACATGATTTCATTTTTGATTAAAACTTGGTCTCTTGCGAGTTTCATTGAAACCGTGATAGAAATGAACACCGCGAGATCATGGATATATGGTAATTGTGGATTTTTGTTTTGCTTTGGCCACACGTATAAATTCTCCATCAGAGAATTCATTATAATTTTCTCACATGCGTTTAGACACGATTCGAATCAAGTCATACGATATTCATTTTTAAAGATGACATTCGACCCCAATTAAATCACTCGGAAAAACTATACTTATTTTCGAATAGCACTCTTTGACCAGATACTGCCAATGTATTATCAACTGACGTTTTATTTGGTGGAAGAATACATTTTGTGCAGTAAGGCGGTCTTCGACGTTGCTCAACTGTTTTAGAATCTGTCAAACCGATAACTCGCCTGAACCGAGAAAATTCTCAAACGTGATCGTTTAGTTTACTCTCAGGTTTATTCTCGATTCTGCAACACTCCAGTTCTACATAATGCAGCTACTAATTATCCTTTCTTAATTACTCGAAAGCTTCCTAAAACTTCCCCAAGGCTTGATTCTGATTAACAATATCCAGTTCTATATAATTCAACCACTAATTATTCTTTCCAACAGCTGAACACTACCTAAACATTTTCCCGGTTCTTTTGCGTGCGTTGTAATTGTTAACGTCACTATGCCGATGTAGAGCAAAACACGGACGTTTGTGAAGTTTGTAAACCGAAGTAAAAGTCGAAGTTTTTAACCCTCCAAGTCCGTTATTTTTAATATCGGCTGTGTGTCTTTTAATGCTTTTAGTACACCAACATTTGTATAAGAAATAAATAAACAAAAATACCTTCGCATTGATTAGGAATACTTATAATCCGTCCTTAGCTAGAACCCATTTGTTCCGATTGCTTTTAACGCATGGCGGGATGTTAAAACTTAACGAATTGATTCATTGACAGTGCCTTAGTTGTATAAAGATTTGGTTGCGTGAATGCAACCCCGATATAACATAACCCTAACACACAGTATCAGACGTCGTAGTACTTCATTTAACATATCTCAAATTTTGCATTTTCAGTACCAAGGTATATAACGTAGCTTCCTTCGCGACAGAAACTTTACATAAACTATTTTCTCTTGTCAAATCCCACCCTATTCTAGCAGGAGTTCCTAAATATTCTAATATATGCCCCACTCTCAAGTATTCTGCTTTATTTCTCAACTAGTTGAATAAAAATTCCCTCTAGAGAGATGATAGTTCTGCGCATCTCGAATATTCATCTGCAGTCAGCCAAAGAAATATTACAAGAAGGAATTTTAAAATACCTGCCTCAAAATTGGAGAATAAGTGTTAATACTGAAAAAAATACAGGATAAAAATTTTCTTTCTTTTACAACCCAACTTTTGTACCTCGTTGAAAATGAATGTGAATACAATGCCTTGGATTCTAAAACATACGTTTATTAAACATCTAGAACATTTGTAGAAACAAAATTAACATGAAAGTCCGTATTAAAGTAATTACAAAGAAAACATCTGCAAAAATATCTAAACTTTATCTTTTAATTTATATTAATACATACCATGAACTTATATTTAAATATATTATTCTGCACCATTTTACATATACATGTACAATGTGGCTTAATTCAGCCCCGAGAATTACAAAAACCCTAAAAGTAATTCGAAATATATTTGGACCAGGAAACATTGTTTTGAAATGAGTATGGAAAAGTTATTTCTACTTCGCCTCGTATAACGTCAGCTTTCTCACAAGATATGACGCACTGAGTATGATAATTCAGTCGGTACGCACAGTATGATCATCGGTGGAATAATAAAATCAGATATATTTCGTTAAATGTAAATGCTTTCATTGTTTCTAGATTTTTACGAGTTCCTGGGTATTGTAACGTATTAGCCAGCGTGCCTCGTGGCATCTATTTGGGGACGCTTGGCAGAGGATTAAGCCTCGCCACAGGAAGAAGGTTTTTCCGTAAAGGAAGAACGCGAAACGGGGACACAAGGCTTTGGGAGTATCCGCCTATAGAAACTTTCACTGTTATAACAGCGAGGGTGGCGTACGTAGTAGGTCACGTGGCCTCGCCTATATAACAGAGTGTACGGAGCCAGTGGGGGTTCTGGAGACAGCGGAGAACCTGTGCGTGTGCACAAAACTTGGCGCCACGACGTGCATATGCGAGCCAGCTCGCTAGCTCGAGTCACTAGTTGACGAAGCCTGCGATTTAGTCCTTGGTGACGGCGGTCACGGGAGCGACTGCTGTGCGTGCTCCGAGGTGAAGAGTGGTTGATTGCCACGATTCACGCGATTTCAATCGATAAGATCGCTCCTGCGATCGAGCAAACCAGCGTTGGTGCGCCAGAACGGACTTTGTGTCCAGCGTGACATCCGTCACGGAAGCTAGGCTTGTGCGCGTTCAAAAGTAGGAGTGGCGAATGCACAATCAAAACCATCTTCAATCGGTTAGGATCGCTCCCGCAATCAGGGTAGTAGTCTATCAGAGCTAGGGTGTAAGTAGATTATTAAGTGTATATATTTTTTTGTTTTCTTGTTAATAAATATATTTGTTATATGAAAGCTCTGTGTCTGTGGTCGCTGTGAATATCATGACGTCACAGTATCTAACGAACTATAAACACATCTCACTTGTCGGATGCTGCATAGTTTCCTTCAATTTTTGCGTGAATTGCCATTTAGTAATATAGATGGTAACTAGTTGTGCGTCTTGCCGGGCAATAAATTACAGACGTGAACGGTTTGTAAATATTTAGAATTATGAAATAAATACTCCGACACCATAATACTATATACAATACTTACAAATAAATTGACCGTTACAAGGAAGGAACTTTTCCCTGTTTACCACGCACCGTGCTGGCCCGATATTAATTACCGAATGTTTCGTGTGATGCCACCAGTACCTACGCGAGCATACCAAGCGGAGTATGCCGGCACCTACCGTCACGACGTAGCACGCCGCCTTTCGGTTCCCCGCCTTCGTCCGCCTATGCATTACAATGCAACGCCGCGCACAACCGCCACACGACGCCTTACCCGACGCGCCAAAGAATCAGACTTGAAAACAGAAGAAAGGACTAGGTTCGGGATCCGCTATAACCTTCATGGGGCAGGCTGACGGAAATGCGTCTCCCGCAGTGTCCGGCCGACGCGCTTCCGCATTGTTCGGGTCTTCCCCGTTTTCCTCCACGAATCCCCCTTCCCTTGCTCCCTAGCCTTTGTGCAGCCCAGCGTCTCTTCCACCAGCGCTGTCCACGTGGCCGATATAGTACGTTTGTACTGGCGACAGATATAGCGCCACACTAGGGAGCGGATTTTAATAAATTTCGCTTTTTTTCTTTTCTCTTTAGAACAATGCCGTTTAGTGCAGAAATTAATTTTATGTTATGAAATAACGAAATGACTCATTTTTATATGTCATTTATTGCGTTATTCGTCTATTTCGACTAATAAGTCACTTTTTACCTTCTTACGTCATTTTACTGCATTTTTCGCTCAATTCATTGATTCAATGGTTTAATTTCCACCTTGCTTCTTACAACATTTACGAGGTGCAACAAATGGTAACCACAGAATGGGTAGCCTATTCGATTTCTTCCCTCATGTATTGTAATGTCCGCCGTTGTTAATACTATGCAATCTGTGGCTTTCATGGGCACCATTGTCATTTCGGTCGATTTCACGATAAAGACAGAGATTTTATTCTAAAGAACAGGCCAAACACAAAGTTTGCATGCTGAGTTTACATGAAAAAATGGCAGAAAGACCCGATTACATCAGTAACATACCCAACAGCTTCAGTTGTTCATCTTAAATAGTTTTGATTAATTTTTACGTCGTTTTTATAACAGTTTGAACCATTTAAAAGTCATTTTTTGATTATTTGTGCAATGCTTTAGATAATCAAAACCCGTCCAATAACGATAACGCTTCCCAAATGTACTTCATCGCGTGCTCCACTGTGCGGAAGCGCCTGCGACTATGCAACCCGCCGTACGTCTCCGTCGTGCGGGCTGGGCGGTCGCGTTCTCTCGGCTGGCCAGGCGCCGCCAGGCAGGACCCACTCAGGCGATTGCATTAGCCAGTCTGCGGCCGCTACTGCCGTCGCCCCACAACCCCCAGCCGAGATCTGCTTATGCAAACGCCCGCTTGGGTGCCCGTGTGAGCTACTTGAAGCGGTCTTGGGGCCAAGGAGATATCGTGCGTTGCGGCCCGGGCGCTGTATGGATTGTTGTGAGGGAGGTGAAGCGGAACAGAAGGAGAATGACGGTGGTGGTGGGGGGGGGTAATCGGTAATTGGTGTGGAAAGGCAGAACGGGCCAAACCGACCTCCCTAGAATATCCGCAGTAACGTGTAGTAATATATGAACGGCTTCAATTCATTAATCATAACTGAATTCAATCACACTGATCGATAGTCATTTTGTTAAACAGCTAACTCAAGCTGCTTCTTATGTACTTAGCTACGCTGAAGCCATATATAACCATAACAATTGCCCATCGGGCTCCGTTTTCGTGTAATCGCACATATACTAAAAATATGTATATTTCGCAGATAGCCACGTGTCGTTTATGCTGAAACGTTGGTTGCTTGCAAGTTTATTACAAGACCGTAGTCGCCGACCATGTAAGATATTGTAGATTCCACTAAAGATGTGAAATAGATGCTAGACAGGTAAAATCATTTGAGCAACTTAGGATATCGCGAAAGCAAAATTGCAGTGGCCCACGTAAACGACTCGGCGCGTGGTGTAAGTCGGTCACTACACGTTAGTTCCGCCCTGCCTGTCAAGCTAGAAAGGTGTTGATATTTCTGTAGTGCACTATAGACTCATCTATTCGTTGAGTTCCAGTGTTAATATTGTATAAGCAAATTCCTTGCAATACCGCTGCAGCGAGTAAATTATCAAACTAATTTCTGTTAATTGTGTGATGAAGTAACTTTGAAGAGCGAATGGCGGAATATTTCTCCCTTAAGAAGAAATGCATATAAATTGTATGTTGGGTTGACAAAAAATGTTAACTTTGCAACCTCTTGTAATGCTGCACGCGCATTTCTTAGTATTTTGCACACCAAATTCCACCATTTTGCAATCAAAGGTGATAGATAAAGTGAGCCAGGTTTCCCCAGAACAAATTCCCAATGATTATTGAAGCAAACATAAAGGATACATTTGTAGGATCGCACATGAAAGAGCTTATAAGGGATTATCTCTTTGAGGCAAGTTTGAATAGTGTTCAATAGGTTGCATGATGGTATCTATGTTAGGTATGGTTCGTTACATGAAAAACAAGAACCTTTTTAAATGTATGTTTCCTAACATAATTACATTAACCGTCCTCATATATATATATATATTAATATATATATATATATATATATAATGTCCAGTATTGATATTTCTTATTTTAACACAATTCAAACATTAGAATTATGATTGAGTGAATATAGGGTAAATAAAATGTTAAGAAAAGGAATAGGTGATTCTAAGAAAGATATCCTAAAACTAGTTCTCTAGTTTAAATGAATGATTAAATGAATTAAGGTGTAGTGATGCATTTCTGTCGTACGGAATTCCTCCTCTTAGATTAATCCAAAGTTTAAATGCCTCGCATTTTTAGACTTACCCGTGTGATTTAAGTGTTCAGTCTGTTCAGATAAGATAAACAAGAGGGAAAATGTCGATTTCATCACGGAAAGTAAATGCTTTAACACACTGATAACGGTTTTTGACCTTATAAATACATGCACGCAAACTGCATCGACACTCACAGTTGATGTAAACCGACGAGTAGGTCTACCTTTGATAATTGGAGATAAACAGGTTTCTTGTCAGTGGAATGATAAAATTAAGTGATTTATCGGCATGTAGATTATCTCTTACGACACCACAGATAAACGTTGCTAGTAAGCAATTGTAAGGCAGAAAACATCAAAATTGACGAGAATGATAATGAGCAACGCGATATATAAGTACAAGTACTTTGTACACAAAATGTTCAACTATAGTCCTTCAGCAGCTTTAGATGACAGATGTAGTTCACAACACAAGGTTTTTCTTAACGCCGCCATGATCGGTATAGCCAGTCAAGTGGAAATTACGAATATGCAGTGGACGAAAAAAACATTACCGTCATAAATATGATTTTTATTATTAGCCCTGGAGTTTATTTGCCATCACTTGCAATAAAACTGTGTATCTTCAGAGTTGTAAATTGTAATGATTCATTAAATTATACGTTTAATACACACATTGCAGCCGGATACTGTCTAGCATCATGTGCAATGAATGTAGAATGTGATGAGGAAAATTTAGATATGTTACCCTGTAGAAGTCATTGCAAAAGGCAAACTTTGACAACGTAAAGAAGGTTCATTAGACCTTAGCTTGTAACCTCCTCCTCTAAAATTCTCATTTAATTCCTGGAATCAGAAGCTTCGCTTATAATCGGATCCTTTTGTGGAACGTACGTATATAACGCACAGCCTTCGTGTTTCATTACGGGGGCCCAGGCTGAACCCCCGAGTCGGATGCTGGACCCGTTCCCGGCCGAAAGAACGACTCGTGTGACGTCAGCCCCGCATCGCCAATGAGGCGCCGGGCGACGCCGCGCTAAGTGATTGGTTGCGCCAAAACAAACGAACGCCGCGTTGGAAACAGAACACAATCGCTGGATTATACGCTGCCTTTTTGTTTCGTTTACAGAAGTGACGGCTTTTAAGGACAGTGAACACTTACGTGCGGTAATAATTGAAGAGCTGTCAGAGCAAAACGTCCAGAAAGTAGGATGTCCCTCTTGAAAAAAGACGCCTCTCTTGAACCAGCTATAAAACTTTGGTATTGAAATTGTAGCACCATCGCAGAATCAATACCTTTGCAGTGTACAGATCAGAGAAGATATTTAAGAGGAAAATGCTCAGCGAGAATTTTTAAAATTCTGCGGGAGGGAGCGAAGAGGTCATAACTCAGATATTTTCTTAGAAAAAAGACAATTTAAAGTCTACAAAAACGTAAATTAAACATGTATAAACACATATGTGTAAAAATACATATATAATACTTTTTTATTGATGTTGATTTTGTCGTCATTGATACGCGACACTTTATAAAAACCGACGTATATCTTGCCGCAGAGCATGAGAACGTGTTCCATGGAAAGTTGTCAACCCGGGAAAACTGCTTTCTCTAGTTACAGCTTCAACCGAATTAAGGGTCATATATGTCCCCTATTGACAGCGTTCAACTGTTTCTTTCAGCCGATCTCTCTAATCGATAATCGGTAAACCAAATACAAACAAGTGAAAACAGAGTCCATGGATGAAAATTTAATTATGTTTTTAATTGATTTTAATTCCACCGGCTATAAACGCGCGTATGGGATTTCTCTGCTGACAATTTGTTGAAACATTTGCATGTAAAAGGGACATTTTATGTATCTAAAGAAAATCACCGCCCTTATTTTTAAACCGCTACTTGCTTAACTATTTATTACGTAATGAAATGTTCGTTGCGTCAATATCTTCTGGCGTATCCATCTACTTTGAAACATACGTTTTCAAGAGACTGAAAGTCGAACAGACGAACGCCGTAGGGGCAAAAATCTGCCATTTTGCGGAATAGCCTAGTCAGAAAAATACTGAACAATTTGTTACCAAGAGATTTAATGCCATTCCCTTATCCAATTCATATCGGTTAAAAGATTCTTCGAATTATACAGGATAATATTTCAATAGTATATACAAATGACAGATATATGTATTCCAAAATGCGAATTCCTACTAATATCTTATCCCACTGTTGGAGTCCAATAAATACTCTTCAAACCGATACAGACAGCAGCTTTACAAGGAAGGAAATAAAAACGTCTCTTGCTCTGTCATCCGTATTGCAAATAAACTTGTGCTCTATTCATTGTGACCTTTCGCGATATTTTTTCAGTAGTAGATAATATCGACTGTTAAAAATATTTACATGAGAATGTTTCATTCATTCTATCTTACCTGATGATCAGAGGTCAGGTGTGGAATGTAGTACTTCTTGTCGAGTTCACGTATAAGTAAAGTTCAGATATTTTTACTCTAAATTATCCAATTTTGGCGCCTAAAATAGTATTTTAAAAGGCAAAAATAAGCGTATTTTTCTGTCCATTTATTTCTGTAATTCTTGTAAATTTTATTTCATTTCGAAGTATTTCATTATAGATATATTACAATGAAATATTGAAAAAACATAAAGATGTAAATGGTAAAACATAATTATACCAATTAGATATATGCACACATATAATGTATGTTATGAAATCTTATCTGTAAAATCTCAGTAATAATGTTTTTTTCTTAATTTGACTCACAATATACAAAAATACTTTCTTCTGGTTTGAGGCTGAAATCTGTCTTTTAATTGTATTTTTACTGTTACACTTCTGTTTAGTGCATAATTTAATTTCAGAGATAATAGACAGTGAAGTCCGATAAGTGCCGTCCTCTGTGGTTCGAACTGTCATGATTTTTATGCAGGCAATTCTGTAAGATTAAGATGTGAATTGGTCGAATGGTTCATCGAATATTATTTTGGCTTCTCGGATCGAGGTTAACATAATTTAGCATTTCGAGAATATTTCTACGAATTAATCTAATCTAGAACGTTTGAATTTAATTTGTTTAGAAGTATAAAGAAACACAGAAAGTGCTTGCGATGTTGTTACGAATTCTCTTTTAAGATAACTCAATCACTAAATAAGCTTGTAAAGAGGTAAAAAGCTTTAAAGAAATCAAAAAATGATGTGGTTAATGAACGAATAATTTTAGCCGCCAATACTGAAAGATATATACTATAAATGAACATATAATTAACAATATAATTTTAAGCAATGTAAATGTAATATAACATTTTGGAATCTGTATATATAATTAATTTCGAGTGACTACGCCCAAGAGTAAAATTGATAATTCCCTAAAACTCGTACGTCTTGTATTGAGGCAATGTTTTTGCCTTTTGGAGGAAAAACTTGATTAAAATAATCCTCACGATAGGCCATATCTGTTGAATGGGCCCTATGTGACAAGAGCTTTTGTATGTTAATTGTTCTATAATAATGCATTTCAAGGGATCGAAATACATAAATACGTCTTTTAATACTTGTATTACAACAAACATTACAACGACAATGTTTTTTTTAATTCCAATATTATGAAAGATGTTTTTAGTTACAAGAAATCGTTCTTAAAAGGTCATCTTACGATGATAACATTTTTGCAGTTTCATAATTGCGTCATCACACATT